CCTCCTTCCCTTCCCTTGCTCGGTGCACAGTACTCTTCTCCGTTCAACAACTTTTTCTGTCAACATGCCTCTCAATTTTTTCTTACTTGCCTTGTCCTTGAACGTCTCCAAAATGCCCTTGTCGCCTAGCGTGGAGAAGTTCTTTACCTCGACGAGCCCATCCTCGCCGACCAGCCCGTCCGGCGACGCCAGGAGGTGGGGGAGGTCTGGCCTCACGAAGGAGCCACAGTCCACGACCTTCACACCGTACTTCGCCTCATACTTCTGTTTGGCCAAGTCCTCCGCGGTGCGGCCCAACTGGATGTGCTCCAGATGGTCCAAATCTTTGCCGTACAGGAGCAGCTTCACCACAGGGCCGCGGAGGGTGGTAGGGCGGAGCCGAGCGATGCGGCCGTGCAGGTAGCCCTGCAACCTTTTCTCGCGGAACTCCCGCCACAAAGGGTTGCCGGACTGGCCACGGGTTCGCTCCTCCCACGCCCTACTCTCCTCCTCAGTGGGGACTTGGTTCTGGACGAACTCGATCTCGGCGAGCTTGCGCTCGTTGAGCACCGTCTCGTCCACGTCAGGCTTTTCCAGAAGTAGTTGCTCGACGGTGAGTCCGTAGTGCTTGTCGGCGCCGCTCCTGGCCCTCTTCCGTCCGGTCCACTCCCCCGCGAGCCTGGCCTGCCGCTGCACGTCCCGGGCGTGCCGCTTGCGCTCGTTGCGCACATGCCGCCGCCGCAACACGACCTCCGCGACGGGTCCCAGAGACTCGCCCTGCCAGTGCTGCCAGGCCGTGAGGTGCCATGACGGGCCCAGCGTGTACAGCAAAGCTGCGCCGAGACAACGAATGCCAAACGAGGGCCCCGTCGAAAAGTCAACCCTTTTACCTCCAGTAAATTTGCTGACTTTCGACATGTACGACTCGCAGTCATTCGTCGTCTCGTTCGCTGTGAGCTTGTGGGCCTCGGCGTACATTGCCTGGAGCGCGCCGTGCATCAGCCCGAGCGCGCCCGTGGCCGTCGCCTCTGGGACCATGTTGGGCTCCTGCGCCTCCTTGCGCTTGCAGTAGGAGTCGCGGCACTGGCTGTGGTCACCCAGGACGTGCAGCGGCCCGTTGCGTAGGTCCTCTCTCAGCTGCGCCACGGACTTGCCGCCGTTCTCCTTGATGGCGCCGCGCGCCGCAGCTGTGAGGCGCCTCAGGTACTTCGTGACGATCCGCCTTGCTCTCAAAGGCACTGACGTCTTCTTCACTATCGAGTGCAGCTTGGACGTGTAGCGGCGAGTAGCGTGGTTGGCGCACTCCTCCTTCTTCATTTTGCGCCCTTTTGGCACGAACTGACGCACCTTGTTGAAGACGGAGGAGTCGCCATCCCCGATAATGGTCTGCACCCACAAGCCCTCCTTGTACAGGTTCTGGAGGCCTTTCACTATGATGGCGCTCTCCATGCCAGTGGAAGGCCCCTTGTACGTGGCGTTGCAGGTGTGATCAGGATCAGGGTCGACCCCCTTCCTCGCCGCGTCCGAACACTCCTTACAAAACTTATTTTCCGTACCAAGGGTCATAATTTTTCCTGTGCGTTGTGAAATTGAGACCGCCTGTAATGTAGGTAAAAACATTAGTATGGAAGCTGTGTCCCCGCCCCCTCCCCGCTGCCCGTCTTGTTCAAACACTTACCACTCCAGACTTCGCATCAAAGCCATGACCATAGGTTCTTGCACACCATCCCCCATCAGTCTTGCAGCTTGTGAAGGGCATGTTGTCCTCCGGGTCCACGCGTCCCTCCTGCTTTGCTAACTCTATCTCTTCAGCTACATTTGCTCGCCTAAAGAAATCGAAGATGTTCTTCCATGCCTGCATAAAAAAAACAGACTGTTTAGCGAATTTCTGCGTGGATACTTGACAGAAACACCCGAAATACCCCCCCGCTCTAACGCGCCAAACATCTGCATATCGTAGTACTATAGGCTCTCAGGCAAGCACGGGTGTGGGTGGGTTGCCTACTCGCACGGAGCAAAGACATCGGGAATAGGCAAACCCGCCGGCACCCATGCATGCGGTACAGTATACCCACGAAAGTGCGCGACGTGAGTCAGCCACTTGGTATAGGTGGGAAGGCTCACTCTCTGCAGATATCGTGCCCCCTGAACCCTTTTTTTGAAAAGCTGATCAGCAGATCAGCAGCCCGCAGAGGACCACGCGGCGGTCCTTCAAATGGGTGTTCACCGCGCGGGGACCCGCCCTGGAACAGCCCCCCCCCCCTTTCCACCTCGGTCGGTCTTGTGCCCACGCGGAAAACTGCTCGTGTAGTCGCGTTGAACAAGAGGTTGCCTACTGACTAGGCGCTGACTTTAATTTTAAACGTATAGTTTGCGTCCCCTAATCCACTATATCAAAACACTCCTTTCACCACACCCTTTCGATTTAAAATCACGCAGAGTAGGGATCGCGGCTTCGTTCCCACCCCACACCTGCTGCAGCCCACGGTGCCCCCCCCCCCCCCTCTCTCTCTTTTCCCTGGCCCCTCTACAAGGACACTACGACGTTGCTCACCTGTCCGATGATCCGCTCACACTTGCGGAAGTAGCCTTCAGAGGGAGCGGCCACATTCAGCACGGACAGCAACTCCTCGCTCTGAGCGTGGCCCATCCCCACGGACAGCGTACCCCATGCGAGCGCCTGGTTGATGAGAGGTCCCCGAGGGTTGGTCTCGATTGTGGCGGTCGCGCGGCAGGTGATACACCGAAAGTGCAACACAGTGAACAGCCCCTTGCTGACCGGCTTCTCCAGCAGCATGCGCCCCCCAGTGCACACCGTGCTGTGCTTCACGATGGCCTCGTGCTGCCTCAGCACGTGCGGCAGGGACACGATGTGGTAGCCATGTATCATGTCCAGCCTGTCGCCACGGCCATCACGCTCGACATGAAGTCCTGTGGCCTCAGTTTCAGAATCACTTTCACACAACCTGTGACATACGGAAAAACAAAAGATAGAAAAGTACTGTTCCAAAACACGAGGATCTGGGGAGGGGGGGGGGGCAAAACACTCACCAAGAAGAAGCTGCGGACTCGTCCAGTCCAAGCCTTTTACTTGTTATGCGTACAGATGACGGGGAGCCATCACCGTTGCCCTTCCTGTTACACCAATCACAAATATCACAGACATTACTAAACGAATCACCCTATGCTGCTATGATTGATTCCGCACTTCAATGGGTCTCACCGTGGCGTGACGGGGCCCGGGCCTCTCTGGGCCAGGCCTGCGCCGCCGGCCTGCGCCTCGGCCCGCGCGTTGATCTGCTCCCTTCTCTTGCGGATCTCGGGGGCGCTAAACACCCGCTGGGGTATCTGGCAGGACAGCACGGCGGGGAAGTTGCTGATGTCAGCCAGCGCGCCCACACTCGTCCCCGGGGCTGGGCTAGCGGGCGCGGCGGCCGCGCGGCGCGGGGACTGCCCTTCGCTAGGCGCTTCAGTGTCACTACGGGAAGCAAGCACCGCAATGAACATTTGTCCTCCAAGCTCAGTTGTTAGGTTGTTGTAGAAAGGGGGGGGGCACTAAGATCACTTACCTGTTTGCACTGCACTGGTTATTTTCAACATTTTCTTCTGATCCAAATAAGCTTTCTTCTTCTTGTTCTTCTTCTTTGCGTTTTAGGGACGTAAGCGAGGTCTTGCGGCGTGTCCGGCTCGAAGTTACCTTGCCGTAGCCACGCTCCTTGAGCCTCTTCTTACCCATACTCCCCAACTGAACGGCGGTCACGCGGTCCTGCTCTGTCCCCACGAGATGCACACCACGACGAGACGAACCGCACTGGCAGTGCCATGTTGTGGAAGGTGCCAAACTACTTCCCCTCACTTGCCTCCCACACTTCCCCTCTCCCATCTCCTCCCCCTTCTGCACCCTTGTGCCCTACCTCTCCACCCCCCTCCCCCCTCTCAGCCCTGCTCCATTCGAGAACTGGACTGTAAACAATAGCCGTTGATCAGAAAAGCTGTGCCTTCCTCGACTCCTAATCCCCCGACCCGCGCCCGACCGGGTCGGCCCCAGCTTCCCGGTACAGAGTCATTGAAGGTACCCGTGCCGCACGGCCGCCCGACTGAGGGGAGTGCGGCGAGGGAAGGGGGAAGGAGGGGGGAGGGGGGCGCACTGCAGCCCTGCTCAGGGTCCGGGGTGGAGCACCAGCAGGCAAGTACTGGGTGTGCCAGAGCACCGAGCAGAGCACGCATTGCAGTTTGCCTACCCTGTAGGGCCGTAAGAAGCCGTGGTGATGAGGGCCCGGGCGAGGATTGAGACGTCAGTGTGCCGTGGCGCCTCTGCCCCATTCCCGCAGTAAAGCGCCAGGTCGGCCCCGGAGTTGCGGTGCTTCACGGGGCACGAGCGCGACGCAGCCGCAGATGATGTTGCACTAAAGGAGGGCGGCTACCGGTGGCAGCCGCCCTCCCTATGACCCAGGCGTACCGGCGCCCCGCCGCGGCCGGGTGCATCCTGGAGCTTGGTGTGGCGGCCAGCCGTGCAGGTGCACGGCGACGCGCGTGTGCGTGCGTGTGTCGTGTGTCGTTGCAAGTACAGTCGCGGGCGCGTCGTACACGCGTAAATAAACGTGTAATGCAAGTCTGATCCAAAACGGGCTTCCAGTCACTCTCCACCAGCAAACAAATGTGTGCAAATACATTTCTGTATTGCGAAGTACTGATACTGGTGCACCGGGTGTCGTTTTGACGACCTCGACTTGTAGGATTAGTGCGACTAAAGACGGACGGGCGGACGGGCGGACGGCCGGACGGGCGGACGGGCGGACGGCCGGGCGAGGTCGCGTTGGGTCCGTCATTCTGTGAACCCCGCTCAGAAGGAGAGGGGGGGGCGGTGCACCGAGACACCTCACCACTCGTTGATGCTTGTCCTGGGGGCACTTTCCGTGACCTCCAAGAAATATCAACGGACCCTACCGATCGGCTTAGCAACCGGGCGCATACGCAGAAAACTGCGTCTGCCTGACCCATGCGATAGCGTTGCCGAGCTCGCACAGCAGGTGAGCTCGGAGGCGCGGTCCCCTGGCATGGCCCCGCAGTAACGTTCACCAGACCAGAGCATTCCAGCCAAATGTTAGTGACTAACGCTAGGCGTCCGGTGGGGCGGGGGATTAACTTGCTTACTTTACACACAAGGGCAAAGTGCCGGAACGACCCGATTTGATGCACTTTTCTCTCTTTGGGGGGGGGGGGCATCTAACCAAAACCGCGAGCTTCACTCAAAGTCCTCCATGCACTCGGCTCCCAGCGGTACTCAAAGCTGGCCGTGGGGCCGTTGGGCCCAAAACAACTCAAAATATTCGCCGCTTGTCGTATTTGGTGCAAGCTTTTATTTTTCATCCACTATTTGTAATTCTGACCGGCGTTGGTCTCTCTGAATATTTTGGTATTGTTTTGGGCCACCCTACGGCCCAAAGGCGAGCTTTGGGTACCGCTGGGAGCCGAGTGCATGGAGGACTTCGAGGGCAGTTCTCGGTTTTGGTTAGATAATGGGTCGGACTAGCGGCTGGCATTGTCGTTTTGGCCACGTCAGACCCCCCCCCCCCCCCCCTCAAAATGCTGAAATTTTCACATTTTTAGCTGGGTGCGAGGTTGGGCGTAAGCGATGACGGTCGGAATGGTATGTACCGATGGACAGGGGGACTTGCTGAAGAACCTCAGCAAGTGTCGTCGCGCTGTCGCTACCCGTGGCGACGCGGCGGGCGCGCAAAGACGACGCGCGGCAGCGGCGCGGACGGGCGACTCCCGCGGGCCCCGAAACTTTGAAACTAAATCGGGTCCGATTTCGTTCGGATTTTTTGCGCTGTACTCTAAAACCATGGCGCACCGAAAACTCGACTACTCCGCCGAATCTATTTTTTTTTTAAACACCCTACCATCCTTGCCAGTCCGCACTGGTTAAAATAAGATGCCAAAAATTAATATCTGATCGAGATGAAAGTTTGTATTACTGTTCAGTGCCACGTCCTCAGACAACATGTTAAATTTGAACTCGCTGACTTAAATACAAGCTGAGATATTTAACGTTGAAATTGTAAAAACAGGGTCTTGTATTCGACCTCTCCTTGAGATCGTATCACTCGGATTAGTAATTTAAACTTTGCATGCGATAGAGGAAAGATGCGGGGAGGTGCAATGCCCAATTCCATAGATATTAAAAAAGAAGAAAGTGTTCAAAGAGGTGTTCAAAAGGTGCTTATTTTACTATTACATGAAAGCGGGGATTGTTTGGCAGTTTTTATATTGTGGACACCCTATGCACCCGCGCCGATCCCTTCTCTTTCCACTGATACTTTCATTTTTTCTCTGCGATGAAAACTGTAGAAATTAGAGTTCGAATAAGTAGATGTGGCAATTTGAATGGTCCTCATTTCCTCGCTCACTCGTCGGCTGGAGCCAGCCTTCGCTGCGCTGGCTTCTCTCGCGGGAGCTCTCCGGGCCCAGGCGGTGCGGCGGCCGGCCACTGCACCGGACCCCTCCGGGCCACTCCGCCACGCCGCCGAAAGGACAGCGGCTAGGCCACGGCATTGTTTGGCCTCAGCTGTCGTAAACCCATCACGTCGACAGGTCCGCCGGCCACCCTCCTGACGTAGTACCGCACACTGCCACCCGCGCCACCAGGCGGCCCCCTCCCGACTGACCGCGAGTTTTAAATGCGACAAAGTGACACCAAAACAGGCTCTTCGTATTCGAACTCTCGTTTGAACAGTTTTTGTCGCAGGACAAAAGTAACGATATCTGTGGGTAGGCGAAAGACACCCGCAGGTGCAATAGTATATGAGAGGAGACAAAAGTCAAACCATCAATATTTTTTTTGAAAACGAAAAATATGCACTTTTTGAACGAGGTTTTGAACACTTTATTTGCTTTGGACAACGATGGGATTGGGCATTGCACCTCCGGGCATCCTTCCTCTATCACATGGCAACATAAAATTACTGATCCAAGCGATACGCTCTCGTGGAGAGTTCGACAAAAAGGCCGTGTTTTAACAATTTTAACGTTAAATATCTCAGCTTGTATTTGAGCCAGGGAGCCCAAATTTTATATTTAGAGTCAGGACGTGGTACAGAACGGCCACATAAAATTTCATCAAAATCGGACAACTTGTTTTTACGAAAGGTCCCCCCTTAACGGCGGCAGCGAGCGAGTCGGGCGGCGCACGGGCGTGGCGTGCCTGGAAGAGGCCGCAGAGGTGGAAAGGGGCAGAGGCGAAAAACGTACTCGCGGTTGCTATTTCTGAATACTGCCAACAACCCACCATTATTACATGCGACCGTGGAGATGGGACGAGGAAGGGAAGGGGGCGGAGGCGTGCTCGACGGGACCTGGAAGATCCGTCTACTTCGCATGCCTCTCTCTTTACTTTACTAGCCCTCTCCACCCTCCGGCTTTAAATAGCGCCCTGCTCTGCCCCCCGGACCCCACGTGTTTGAAAAGTGGAGGGCGGGCGGCAAGCTGCTTAATTCTTGGAGTCTTACTCTCTTCTCCGCCTCCCCTTCCCCCAACTCGTGACGGAGGAACGACCTTGAGACATGCAGAGAGCAGCTGTCGCGACTGCGCCCCCCGTCCAACATGGACTTCCTTGCGGTAGGTCCAGGTCCTGGTCCTTACCCCCTCCCCTCTCCCCTTGCCGCTCTTCCACGCACTCACGCGGTGCGCAGGCTCGCAAACACACGAGGAAGATACTTTGTTTTTATTTAGTTTTAGAACGGAAAGCAGGGATCGTGGCCCGATTTACCCCCTCACCACCTGTCACACGTACCTGGGCAGCTGCACACACATCTGGCATGGATGCGGGTGCGTCTTTTTAGCCCATCCTTTTACTTTGGAAAAGCTTCAGAACGGGTTTATGCAACCGCTCTCGTGTCTGTCCATCTGTCCGTCCTTCGTACTTAACAAGGAGTTGGGCTAGAGGCTAGAGGTCTGAAATATTTCGTAAACGTCAAAATTTTGCACACTTGTACACATACAGTTCTATGCTATCAGTGGTAACCAGTGGTGTGCAGCTGCTATAGTTTCCGGGGACACTGTCAAAAATACTGTACCAAATTACAGCAAAAGGACGGTATGTTTGTAGTGAGGAGGTACATGATCGTTGTACTTTTTTGCTGTAGTGCCCATAGACTCCATGTTAAGGGATACTGTACTTTGTACCTCAAAATACTGTACCTACTCACTACAATGCGATCAGGCAAGGACTTGACCAGTTCGTGCTGTGGTTTTTTCTGACAGTGGATGTGAAAGTTTTATACATCAATAGACGCGTATAATCTAGTTAAACACTACAATGTGTCTAAACTTTGCTCAGTTACTTTTACAGCAATTCACGTGCAAAACGGTGTAAGTTTTCAAACTACAAATGCCGTGCAAAGAAGGGCACAGCAAAATTGTGTTGTTACTGTTAATCAAGAAATTTCAAAAATAATAACCATAGAAAACACGTGAAACAAAGGGGTCTAATGATACGGCACTACCTTTAGGATCGTATGGCGGCACATCGTCTCATTTCGCTGCGGTAGAGAAGATGCATCCTGCCAAGCCTCCTGAATTACGTCCTGCCGCGACCTACCGCACGAGTCAGCAGCCGACAGATCAGTTGGCACCGCACGCCAGGCGGCCAGCCAGTCAGCCAGCCAGCCGGAGGCGGCCAGCCGGGGCGGCCAGCCAGCGCCTGCCGCGCAGCTGAATGGGTGTTCCGCATGAGTATGAATGGGTGTCTTGACGCCGCACTCGTCAGTAATGTCGCTCATTTGTTATTCACGCAAAGTCCTGTTTATGTACCGCCCTGTGTTTGGCCGTGTGCTTTACGCTCGACCTTACGCCCCAAAGGGCCTGTGCAGGTGCGCATATTTATCCCCGACGAGGTTACCTCTCTGCTACCTGCTTCGGCCCTTCTCTGTGATTTCGACGCTATGCCGACTGACTTTCTGAGCATCTCTGAGCAAAGAGAAGCAGCAGTCGTCCTGCGGACCTTTTATCTCTTACGTCTTACCCGCGCTTTAATATTTAAACCTGATTAACGCTCTGTGGAAAGTCTGTCTTTTTAGGCGGAGCGGAAGTGAGAGAGAGAGAAGGGGAGGATACACCTCCACCCCTTCGTCCACCCCTCTCGCCGCTTTTCGGTGGCCTGCGGGTGCGGGCCTCGCCCTCTCCCCATAGCAACAGGCGGTGGGGGCAACGCCCGCAGGAGGCGAGCTGGGCGGGGCGGGGTGGAGTGGGGTGGGGTAGGGCCGACGGAGGCGGTTGGTATATGGGCACAGGGCCGATCGGATTATGTCGCCTAAACCCGTCGCGATGCGTCCCACGCGGGCAGGGCGTGGGGTGTGGAGTCCTTTGGCCCCTT